TTTAGATTTGTTTCCGTCAATAACTATTTACTGACTAATATATTTTATCAAATAACATTTTGGAGGAAATTATATCTTCTTGCTTAAAAACAACAAACAATGGGCTAAAATAATTTAGCGGGAGTCTAGTTGGCTTTAATGTATACTTCTTATACACATACGCATACAATCAATTTCAATTATACAAACTATCGTGARCACAAAAATAGTTAAATATTATAATATAAATTTTGATTTTATTGATCGAAAACTCTAATGTTGCATCATTTGAAAACCCATTGTTCTTTTGGTTTCAAATTTTATGGCATCAAAAACAATATATTTTTATGTGATACGAATTTTACTGCCATACGTGCACAAACTATAATTAAAATTTTAAATGTTTTTACAGCAAAAATGTATTATATTATAGTAAACACAAATGACCAATTATAGGATAGAGCGAAACTATTATGCATTGGTATCTTTAGATATGTGTACGCATAATCAGTTCTTTACAAAGTGTTGTCATAATATTATTATGTTCGGTCTGACGCGTAAAATCAACCAAGAATATGGTAGGCATAATATTATATGACACCGACACGGTTGCTGCCAACCACTACAACACACCTACGCCGACCCACGCCAACCGCTGTGTTTGCCGCCCTGACATCCACACTCTCCCCAGAATCCCATACTATTTGTTGAACAACATTTAATTATATTAGCGATGTCATGAATCTAGATTTTTACCGACAAACCAAACCTGAATGTAATTTTTTTTCTATTTAACGAACTCTAATCGAACCGAACTTGTAAATTGTAACTATAATTATATATAMATTTAAAAAAACTATTTTAATCTTGTATTTAATGTCGTACAAAATATTATATTGATAGAACTATAGCAAAATATACGAAAACATTCAATTTACACACTAAAAATGCCGTATTTGTTTTTTAAAATACTTTATTCATCAAAGTCAATACTAATTTTAATTTCGTCGGTTTGATTTTCAAACCAAATTAAACATCCCAAGTTTCATTCAGTTTGGTTTGAAGATTGATCAGTTGGTAAGCATCACTACACCATTATTTTATAGGAAATATAAAATGATAATAGTAATACAACAATAGTTAATGTGTAATTTGTTGTGTCTACGTCAAGTTTAAAATAACTATAGATTATCAAGTGCCTCAATTGTATTGTTCTGAGGCCAATGAAAATATAAAAACTGTAAAAGTACTATAGCAACTTGATAATAGTTGCTACGTATTAATTATTTTTTTTTTTTTTTAAATCATTAAATGCCTTAAAAATAAACCAATAATTTATTAAGTTACATCAAATATGTTTTTTTTTTTAGAACTGTTAGTGTTCAATAGATAAATAATTAAACAAAAATCATTACTTTTATTTATTAAACTGCATTATAAGTCAAATCGTACTGAAATATTTTATTTATTTAAGAAACTAAACCAAAAGTCTACTTATGGTTGGTAGGATAAAAAATAAAACAGAGCACAGTGGAAGAAATAACTGTGGTATTGTTATATGTTAATAAATATTCTAAGAGTGCAATATGTAGTAACAATAATAATTGTTACATTTCAAAATATTTTCACATCAGATCTCTTATTGTGGTAATTTTAATGAAAGAAATAATTGCACAATACTAAATGTCCACCACGTTGTCTGGTATTATAATATATTAATATCATTTAGCTGTTGGCACTTGGTAGTAACACAATATGAAAGGGCGTTGCTCAATAATTTATTTTATTTTATGATAAGAATAAATGCTGACGATCACCCCAAACGCCACGCCTGCATTGAATTCACTGCCGACAAATTATGTTTCGTAGATTCTAAGAACGAACGACACATTTCCAGAAATAGTACAGTTGTTACTTTGTAAGACATTTTTTTTTATTAGAGAATCCGCCAAAAACTGACAATGTGAATTGGTGATCATCGAGCAATAATAATATTACACAATGCATTGGACAGTCCTGCAACGCAGTATCTATTATATCGTAAAAACGTGTACCTACAAAGRATTGGTCACAAATGTCGAGTGTTTGGTATGTTTACCGCGGGTGCCTGCACGCCCGCGGTCCTCACAATAATATTATTATTATACGTGATCAAAATAACTCGACCATGGTGTTCAGTMAAAAATAAACGTAATAATATATCATGCAACTCTGGAAAATGTGTACAATTTTTACCGAGCTTTAAAACAAGTGAATTCCTCTATAGTATAAAATATATGATTTTAGCCCGTCAAAATCTTTCGTAGAAAATTAAATTTTAGCGAAAAATCCATCATTGAAGTATTTTTGCATAATACATATTATAATAATATGCTTATATATCCCATGGGATTAACTCAGTGGACAGCCAAATACGTCRAGTCCATCTCCCATTTGATATTAGCAAATCGTTTAATAAATTATCTGCATTGTAAAAATAATATACTCTAGGGTTGTCGTATTTTATTCTGCTTAAGCCTGGGCAAATATATTTTTTGCATAACTTTTATGTGAAAAGTTGTCTACTCCTTTATGGTCAACATCCAGATTTAACACATTTGTCCATAACTGTTGAATACCACACAAAATGGTTAGCACTTAACGAAATTTACGTTTATAAAGCAAATACTAACGCAATGTTACAAATCGAAATGAGTAATTATTGACAAAATCATCAATTATTAGTATGAC